TCCCGATAACGATATTAACAAGTGACAAGTAAAATGGGGCTTTGAACGTCTACTGCGGTTGACGTTCAGTGAACGCTTGTGGAGTGTATCGATCTTTATTAACCAATAGGATACACAGCTAAAACGAAATTGGACATTTCGATTTTTGCTTCGAGTTATCTTCAACGATTTATTAATTTTGTTATCGATCTCAGCTGCACCGAGCGTATAAATGTTAACCAATAAAGTGCACTTCTATTACATTCGATTGCATAAAACAACGAGACGTAATGTTGCACAAACCGCCGGGAACAATCATTCGTCCAAGCTGAAAATATTCGAAGCTCGCGAGGGCCAAAAGGGTTAAATCGCGCACGGCTATATGCGAGGCACGTTGCGCGTTGTTTAGACCGATATACACGTCCGGGTTATCTTCAGGGTTAAGGCCGGGTTAACTTTAACTGTGCTTCGTGTGATCGAAGAAAAATGCAGGCGTAATCGTGCCTGCACAAGCGAGTTTGCGAGACCTATTATGCCGAAGACACGGCATTGAACGATTAACTATCGATTGCTTTTTTTTCCTTTTTTTCGTTGGAATGATCGGAAATGAAGATTGTTGCATCTCATTATTCGCAGACTGTGTAATTCTTCGTTGGCCGTTATAGATCGCCAGTTAGATTTTTATATGCTGTAAAAGAACTTCCATGTAAAACTATTGTAGCGAATAGTATTGGGACCGTCTAGGTTTATGTTTGTGTATGTCAGCAAGTTTATATCTCGTAGATAAAATTATACCTCGTGTAATAAGCAGGTTTGTTTTTAATTTTATAATCTTTCATAGTTCTTTGTTGAATATAAACAATTGCTTACATAACAAGACTGGGAAAGCGAAATTTTGGTAAATGTGCATTTCCATTATTAAGTGTAACTTTCTTTTTACCGTGTAGACTTATTTTATTTTTCATCCGACTCTTCTACTTCGCCCACTGTTTTCTCAAACGTCAAAAGTTCTCTTCCACTCTAATCTGGTTTCGAAGACGATACGTTAAAGATTAGGAGAATTAGGAGGAGATTAGTGATACACTTTACAAAGAGCTCGTGTGTGTACGTTGATGAATCAACGATGTTTGTCGGCTGTATTCATGCAATGATATGTAACGCTGTCGCAAAAGAGGCTCGCATATAAGTCAGTATCGCTTTACGAGCGGCGATTTCTTGCGAGGTGTGTCTTGTTTAATCGTCGGGCAAAAAGATACTCGTCGGCGGGCGAACTTTGGAAATTTGCGAAACCTTGAGAATCTCGGAACGGAACTGAGATCGGTCCTCCGGAGGAGCCCATCGCTCCAGATTATACTTTTTGTTTCACTCGTCATGTTTACGAAGGAGCGAGCTGTCCGCAGTTGCGAGGTAATGACGCGCGTTCTTGTACTCGTAATTACTTTAAAAGCGTGGAAAATCGCGTCGTGGCGAAGCGCGACGCGCGGAAAAAGACGTCGATTGGCGGTCACGAGCCGGTTACATAAGCACGTTCTCGTGATTAACAGAGCCTTCTGCCGGAGGAGAAAGAGAGGCGCGATCGCCTCGCGACAGTCGGAATGGATAGAAAGAGAAAGAGAGAGAGAGAGAGAGATAGAGAGTGCACGAGGGCAACGACGTACCGTCGCCGGAGAGCACGAAAGTCCGAATGGATGCTGGATGATCCGGGACGGCGAGAGTAGCGAGATAGTGATGTACGTACAGCGCGTGGTGCGTGACACGCGTTCGGTTTACGCGTGCGTTTGCAACTAAGTGAAGGAAGAAGGGGGTATCGAAATTATTTGAAGAACGATAGAATTGATTACACTTGCATATATTTCTACGATTCTGGACGGAAAGGCACAGAGAGCGATATAAATTGAGCAGGGAGCCACAAATATCCCCCGAAGTTCCTTGCAACGAAGTAAGTTCATGCGCGCGATAGAAAAACTACACTGATAGAAAAGTATGTAGTATTTGCGACTATAATTGCATAGTAAAATAATTATAGTCAGGAATATCATTTTTAT